TTACCAGATTTTTTCTTTACCTGATTTTTGTTTCTAAGAAAAATGAGAGCCACACACGAGCATATTTATTTAAAATTTCAATAGAACAGTAGCAGTATAATGTCCTCGTAAGTGAATATCAGGCCCTTGTAAAGAAAAATTGAGTATTTTATTCAAAATAACCCAAAATGTGATGTCCACATATGTGGACGCCAGGTCCTAGATTAAATTTGTCCACTGGAGGTCATTCAGAAGCCTCACTGAAAGATTCAAGGTGACCTTGACCAGCAAGATGTACAATTTAAATAAATGAGAACATTAAACCTGACAGTAATAAATAATGCTCTTTATCCTGCTAAGTGTTGATCTCCAGACTGAACTTCAGGTCTCTAATGAAGTCCAAGCAGTCCTCCAGTGTTTGACAGAGAGCTACAAGTGAAAAAAGAAAGTACAAAGAGGGTGAAAGAGATGGACAAAAGAACAAAACTGCAACGACATGATAGAATAACATTCAAACTAGCCTCTAGTCTCTCATCCAGATCAACACACCCTGAACCCACTGCTCCACCCCTCCCCTGCAGCTGAGCCACAAACCACACCACAACTACAAAGAGGTGAAGCTTGGACATCTCTGCTGCTCTCCTCCTTTGAGCCTTTGAGCTCAAAAGTTAAAAGTTGCAAGAAATATTCAACTAGTGTACAATTATAGAGGATGAACACATCCATAGAAATTGAAACTGTTTTTGTAGCTGGCTATGAAGACGTGGATTTCTGCTGGCTTTTAACATGACAGTCTGTGAGGGCTGACTTGAGTAGATGAACTGCAGTTTGGGGCATTTTCACCCCTGCTTGGCATTAGCTCAGTGTACATGTTGGTTTTTAAACAATCATTAGGGTTAGATCGAAATAATGTTGCTGACAAGGAATGGAAAAGAATTTAACCATTGGTTTTAGACTGGCTACTTCACTGGATCTGAATCCAATTTAAAGAATAACCTACATGTGGCTTGTTTCATAGATTTACTGTTTAGATATCCAGATTTCCCATGCTGTGTTTTTTCTGATACAACACTTCAGTCTTCACCTGAGGTCGAAGTTTAAATCAGATTCCGTTTATAGAAGTGACCTTATGATGGGTCTCAGTGCTGCTGGGCCAAGTGTCTTCCTGTGGCTGCTGGTTTGAACCTCCAACCTGACTATCAGGATCCAGCAGAGCCAGAAAAGGTAAATCTCCAACGCTCTCAGGTCCATTAACACCAACCCTCCTTTGAACTCCTGGAATTGTTATGGTTGGTTTGGGTCACTTCGTCGCCTTGATGCTTCTGTTGAAAGAAGTTGAATAATAAGTCAGTCTAATGGCAGAAGAAGCAACAACATGTTTGTGTTTGTTTGTTTCTGATATACATTTTATTTGACGGCGAGAGAAATACG